CAAAATTATACATCAAGAACACCAGGGAAACCACAGATAGGGAAACAACTTGCTGATGCACAGGCACATTGAGGGACTAGGGTGACTGATAGTGAACGTTAGATGTCACAGGCCAAAAATTCAACCCCTGCTACACACCAAACACCCTGAATTTGCACATATGACACATGAAGAGCAGAGCAGTAGTGCCTGGGCAGAGAACTCAATACTTCCATTGAAACTTACACCTACTTTTCACCAATCATTTCTGAGCTCCCTGCCCCTCTTTCTCCCTCTTTCCAAGATAAATACACCACTTTGCCTCCTGTCCCCTTGCTTGGCCACCCTGCAATAAAGCCTTTTTTTTCCCTGCAAAAGACTTGTCTCAATATTTGGTCTTTTCTGTTGTGTAGCAGGAAACGAGCCCACACGCTTGGTTACAAATGTGCTGACATCGCCATGTACTCCAGGACTGTTCTCACAGGCAGTGTGGACTACGGGAAAAGATAAATAGAAAACTCCACTTAGTAAATGAAATTCACATTTGGAGATAATAAAATCAAAACCATATTCCATAAGGATAAAACCAGAACACCTCTACCCGCTACTGATACATGCTGGAGGAAAATCAACATCAAATGACAAAAGCCAGCCTAGTGAGCTGTAACCACTCTGCTGGATGTCTCCTTACTGTCAGTCTGGGTGTTGTCATTGGTTTGAAAACCAGAGTCCCAAACCTTCCAAGGAAGCCATGGTTTAAACCAACATGGCGAATGCAGGCCCACATTCCATCACTTTTGACTAATGCAAGTTTTACAACCCAAAGATTCTGCAGGCTAGCCTGTCACCATCCAAACCAACAGCTGAGGCAAAGGGACCTAGTAATTGGCCAAATTAGAGGGCCTGTCTAGAGGGTAATGCCAAAGCTCCACAGCCACAGATATTTTAATTGTCAACCGGACACCCTGCTAACAACATACACCCAAATCAGGCCATATGATTTAAACCTATTTGCAACAGAATCCAACTCATCACCCATCTGGGAAAAACTTTGGAGAGTTGAAAACCCAGATTTGGCCATCTTTAATGGAGCCTTTAACTGTGCCAGTTGAGTGCTGGCACTTTGGTTCATGATGACAGTATCACAGGTGCCAACATCACCTTGGCTACCTGTGCACCCACAGCCCCTTAACTTAAAAGATATTTGCAAGTCAAGCTCCCAAGCCCAACGTTGCCTTCAAATTAGACAAGTTGTTCAGCATCTTTATAATGCCAAAGAGTCAGAAAAATAAGACTCATACCACTCCAAGTGGGTGTCCACTTGAAAAGGATACCCCAGTCTCACATTCTAGACAATATTGCTCTATCCAGGAGCTCAATGTTGGAGATGACATCAACCCCTGAGGTGGAGACAACTCTGTCCTGGACACTAAAACCTCTGCTCCAGGGATGCCCAAGACTTGCCCCACCCAAGGTGCTGGCAAACTAGGTCCAGGACATTCACTGCTTTTCTTCCTTTGACATTAAGGATTCTGTTGTGTTTCTTGAGCTCCCGGCCTGCTTATCCCATGATCCAAGTATACTCTTGCTCTCTGCAGAAACATACATCCCTACACATCTATGCCTAAAGGGAAATCTGTAGAGCTTACTACTGTCTGTACCATTCTACAAATTAATGGAGACTATTGCCTTTCCCAGGAGACAACTGCCACATATCAGTCAATTCCTCAGGACAACACACTCCCCAGTGCCTCTCCTACTCCCTGCCCCAGCTTTCCACCACGAATTCCCACCTGGAGTCTCCCACCATGAGCACCACGACCACCGCTTTCTACTAAACACACGAATACAACGAATCTCTACACTGACTTCACTAACAATCCACACTCTCCAACAACATAGTGGCCAGACCTGCCACACTGACCCGAGAAATTGACCCTATGCTGTTTAGGGCAATGTACATCCTACACTCTAGAAGTCTCCTCATTTATTCAGGCCACTCCAATACCCCAAATAATTGAGCTCAGTATTGACTCAATTTTTCAGCCCTATAGCTAGATGAGTTTACCCTCTTAAACGGCCAATTAAGTCCACACTCCCAAGCACCTGCTGAGTTGTACCCTCACACTCTGCACTACTGTACACCTGCCCTAATTGCCCTAGGGCCAGGTAGCAGAACAGTCAGGGACAGCCTCAATGACCCAAAGTCCACTGAAAATATTCACATTAGCCAATCCTAAGCCTGCTTGCAATGCCTATCCCCTTCCTTCTTGCTGAATCCACAGTACAGGCACTGGATCCACAGTTCCCCCTCTCCTCTGTCTACCTCTGAGTGGCCCTGCACGGTGTGCCGTTTCTTCCCAGGAAATTGTAACTAAACTGTAAAACTTTCTGGATTCTCTCTCTTGTTCTGCAAACTCATGCAAGACAATAGGATTAAAACAGGGTCAGAGTGATAACGGCCAATTGTTAAGCCACACACACACACCACACACACAAGTGTCAGCTTCCCATGTCTATTGGGTCAGTTGAGATGTACATGACCCCGCTCCTTACGGAGTACCCAACACGATGGATGTCAGCTTGTTCATAGTGGTCACCAGCTCAGTAGCACATACACCTTACTGGCTTTTCCTCCTCTCCTCTGTCATTTCCCCCACTACCTCATTCCTGCTTT